TAACAAATCACAGGTTTCATGACTTACAACAACATTCACTTTGTGGCTCATGGTTCTTAGGTCAGAAGTCTGGTAAAGGGCAGCTAGGTTCTCTGTTCAGGATCTCACAAGGCCAAAATCAAGGTGTTAGTGAGGCTGAGTCTGGAGGCCTTGGGGGGAGATCTCTTGAGGCTCATTCCTGTTGATACCTGTTTCCTGCTGGTTCTTAGTGGGGCTGCTCCCAGTTCCTGGAGGCCCCCCACATTTCTTGCCTAGTGGCTCCCTTCACCTTCAAGCCAGTAATGTCGCTTCTAATCTCATGCTTCCTGTTTCTGGTCATTAGGTGTTTCAGAAAATACTCACATTGGTTTAGAATCCATGAAAATCAATCTACTAATTAAGCCATGAGACACTGAGGTTCTGAGAAATGAAACTTCTGGATTTAAAGGTTTCTTGTGACTAGGTCAGGCCCAGCCTACTCACTTCCCTTTATCATAAAGTCAGTTGTGCCTTATAACACAGCCTAAAATTCATCCTTTTCATAGCTGTAAACCAGAGCAGGGAATCTCAGGAGCCTTCTTAGTGTTCTAATTCACAGTGTATGATTTTCTGTAACAAAACAAAATTGAAATCAAGACCCAAAATGTGTGTTTGCCATAAACATAAATATATTCTCACTAGCTGCTAATGTCATCAAAGGCAAGAATCATGTTTTATTCATTTTTATATCCATAGTATAAATATTTATTATATAAATGTATATGTTCAAAATAAGATGATGGCTATATTGTTGAATTTCAACCAATTAAATGAACTCTAGCCAGGCTACAAGAATGTCTAAATGGACTCTTATAAAAAGAGAAGGCATCAGGGTAGCACTAGAGATGTCAGCAGAAGGGGTTCTGAGCCCTGTTTAACCCTGAGCATTTCCATTAGTAGTATCTTGACACCACGCTCCTGAGTTTTATGTATGTTTTCTAAACTCTCAATCTCTGGGACAGAGAATATGATTGACCCAAACTGAGGAAAGTACCTGCCCTTACATCTGCTCAGGTTGAGTCAGGGTTGTTAGTGTTACTAGTGTAGACATGATGGCCCAACCAGGGACTGGCTGTGAGCTGGACATACCCCAAGGAATGTTCCTCACATGTGGTAGTACTCAGAACTGAGTGAGAATAGGTGGCACATTGTCATTATCTCCTTGAAGTTGTAAAGTACAGGGCATAATGTGATAGTTCTGCCTCCTTTTCCAGCCTTACTAAGGTCACTGTCTTCAACAGACATTTGTAGTAGGCCTACTAGGTGTCCTGCTAGTAGCCAGGGATTCAAAGAAATAAGATCCTATCCCTGCGTGTGGAGGGAGAGAAAGAACAGCTCAGGTATTTCCTTGAAGCATGGTAAGTACCTCAATAGGACATTTAGTTGTCCCTCTTACCTGTGTTTTCAGTTACCAAGGGTCAACCATAGTGCCAAAATATTAATATTTGTCTTGGCTCGTTAGAGAGAAAGAGAGACTGTGTTCACATAACTTCTATTATAGTATATTGTTATAATTTGCTCTATTTTATTACTGTTGTTGTTAGTCTCTCACTTTGCCTGACTTGCAAACTTTATGATAGGTATGTATATATAGGAAAAAATTGAGTATATGAAGGATTCAGTACTGTCTGTGGTTTCAGGCATCCATTATGGGTCTTAGACTGTATCCTTCAAGGATTTGGGGATACATTCTGCACATACACAGGGTTCTGTACACTGGAAAATAGTTCTCACTCTTATCCATGGTAGAACTCCATTGTTTCCTTCCAATAGCTCTTAATTATAAAAACACCAACAAATAATTGCAATTCCAGATTGTGTCTTGTATGGTACATGGGTGCTTAAGAAGCTTATGTTAGTTTTTTAAGAAGAGGTTAATTGTAGACATACAGATTTCATTCCTTATGAGTCTGTTAGTCTACTGGGGGAGAGGGTTTCAAAGATTCCCCAGAAGTCATCTGGCTGTTTGATGTAAGTGCCTCCTGTCCTCTGGTTCCCTCCTTCTGTATGTTTTCTATTTGAAATTGCTACTATGTCAGCTCTGCACAGTTTAACACTGAGATATGTATGCAATCACTATTAAGTGGGCTATAAAGGATTATGAATTATAAACCTCACAGCAGCTTTCTTCTCTCCATTAGGAATAATTGTAGGTTTTTATTATTTGAGGATAAAAATTTTAAATGGACTTTAAAGGGCATTGAAGTCATGTTATTTTGGGGAGAATCATTAAATTATGAAGGGATAATTTGGCTGATTTGAGCCAAGTTGGTCCATTTAATCATGATCTCTCAATAAGAATTTATGTGCAGCCATATTTTCAATGCTGGTAACCTTTGAAAGGGATATGAAAAGCCATCTACTTAATTACTGCCAAATGTACCCTGTCCTGTGAGTTCCAAATTGGGAGCAGATACATCCTTTTGGTTTTCAGTTCCAAACTCAGCTGAGTTCTGTTGTGTTGTTTGATGGGAGAGAATGAGTACCGAGAGGAATTACCACTGGGAGAGTGCTATTACTTACCCATGGGTAACTGATTACTTTTTCTATATGTGAGCAAACTGCCGAGGAATGGATTGTACCCCTAAAAACAGTGGCCATCTCTTAACATAATAGTGCATGCTTAGGCATCCATAATGCTGTCAGAGACAATAAATATATTCTTCATGCTTTGTGGCACTTTATTGTTTTAGTGTTTCTTCCATTTGTTTTGTTTTGGCTCAAATTCTACACAATCCAAGAATCCAAGAAGGACAAAGCAAGAAATGGTAACTAGATTTCATTTTTCTGTACTCTGCTTCATTCCACTAATTTACACACCAGTTTAGAATTCTTACTGTTCAATCTACTTAATGTTAGCCATTTGGAAACTGAGGCTCTGAGAAGTGATTATCCCAAAGCCCCCCAGCTAGTGAGTGGGTTTCCCCCATTGAGTAACACAGTGGATTAGATCCTAAGTATAATAAGAAGACTTATGAGGATTTTAAGGGAAGGACAGAAATATAATAAGATTTATGTATTAAGAGCGTGGTAAATTTGCTGGGTGAGAAATGGATTGGTGTGTGCCTATAATCCAAGCTACCGAGGAGGTGGAGACAGGAGGATCTTGAGTTCGATGTGAACCCAGGCAAAGTTAGTAAGACCCTATCTCAAAACAAAGTTAAAGGTGGGGGGGGTGCTTACATGGTAGAGCACTTGGCATTCGCCTAGCCTGGGTTCGATCCCCAGTACCACAAAAAAGTTGGGGGGGTCAGAATTAGAGAGAGGATTACAGAGAAGACATAAGTAGGAACACCAAATAGGATGCTCTTTCATTAATTTAATTGGAAAGTAATGATGACTTGCAAATAGGATAGGATGGAAGGAAGTAGAAAGATTTAAGATATATTTGAAGGCAAAATCAGTAAGACTTGTTGATGTTGAGAGACTTGTACAGTTGAAAGATAAGAAGTTTCAAAAACAACTCTTGGACTGGAGGTGTGGTTCCAGAGGTAGAGCACCTGCCTAGTTAGCACAAAGCACTAAGTTCAAACCCAGTACCACCAAAAAAAGACCCCAAAACCAAAAAAAAACTTGCCTCTTAGTTCCTGGTTGAATCACTGGGTAAATATTGATCTGTTTTCAAATGAGAATTGGCTATGGACCATCTGGAAACTGAGTAGGATAAAATCTCTATTTTCCTTAAGATGTTTGTAAGAGCTCTAGAAATATAAAGTAGGAGTTGGATATGCAGACCCTAAGCTTGGAAAAAGATCTGGGTTAAGAATGTGAATGTAGATATGGATAGTCTTTGAACTTAAGGCATTAAGTTCAGTGAGTTGAGGGCACTGAACTCACACTGTTGGAGAAGGATGGGTGGGTGTGGATAAATTGAATAAATTCAGGCATTTCAAGGAAAGGTAGTGATATGATTAGAGCAGAAATGACATGGGCCAGTGGAGTTGTTATTCAGTTGGTGAGAAATAAGAAGTAAAATGGGATTGGACTCTGAATGTCCTCCTAAGTCACACAGTGGCTTCTGACTAGACACTGGCCATATGGAAAAAGATAATGTGAAGTCTTATATCTTTTTCACTTATTTATTTTTCCAGTGCTGGGAATCAAACTCAGGACCTCATACATGTTAGGCAAGGGCTCTACCACTGAGCTGCATTCCTATTGTTCACATCTTTACATATCAGCAGGAAGCATCTTTGTGAACTTTTTTGGTTTACTTTGTGAAAGATAAAGTCAAACTTCACATATATCTTGAGATAATTATCCTGGTCATGCACCCTGAGAGAATAATGAAGAACTGTCATTATCTCCCACTGAATCACTGCCTGCCATTTGTTAGCAGTGTGGTGGAAATAGGCCCGAATAATCCAAACTGACATTGGAGGATTTGTTTCCTGCTTGCTACCCTGGGGATGAAGTTTCAGCTCCCACCTACGCTGCTCCATTAAGATGATGAGCAGAATTTACCTAGCCCACAAGGTATCGTCTGTCTGGAGTTCTGCACTCCCCATCCATCACTCCTCCTACAGCCCACCATGCAGGGCCTGTTGTAGACATCCTGCCATCCTTCATTTGGCAGGACAGTCAGAAGCCAAGAGAGGAGGCCGGGAACCTTTCCAGTTCAAAGAACAAAACACCCTAGACATTAATGGGGCCTAGAGGTTATGCATGCCCATTTGAAAAATTTATACTCCACAGTGCTGAAAAAATTGACACCTTTCCAAAATTGTCTTTCTCTGCTGGATTTGGCCAACTCCTACCATCATCATTCTTTGTCACTAATAATTGTATCTGAGTGTCCCTTGAGTAATACATCTCTTTTGTGTCTAATAGCTTTGCACGCCTGGAAGCTATGCATATATACATATTTAATTCTATGGTGCTGTGTGTATATTTTCAATGAGGAGCGAGGAAGTATTTGTAATTTGAGCCAGGAATTTAGCACTTACCATGTACTGATTCTGCCTGTTTCACTATTTTCACAGAAATGAAGATGCAGTCAATCAGATGGCCGTTACTCCTTTCCCATTGCCATCAAGCTCCCCATCCTCCATTGAGGTAAGGTGGTTCCTAATGAGCTCAGTGCACTAGATGGATTTGTTATGCGCATTGTCCCCAAATCCTAGTTTTTTGATTTTTAGTATTTAGTATTCCAAACACATAGTATTTGTTAACTAGCAAATTTGTCAGACTAAAATAGAAAGTCTTTGAGGTATGGTTATAAGGCAATGTAAAATAATGTTAAACAGACACATTAGAACTTAACAATATGAGTATTATCTTCTTTCAAGTTGCAAAGTTCCTCAAGATGTATAATTTTGTCCTAATTGAGCATTTTAGAGTTTACTAAAACATTCTCTATTTTATGAATGAATTATTATTATCCTTTTCTTTATGGTTTCAAAATACTTTAGTACCTGCCAGGTGCATATCTATTATCCCAGCACAAGTTCAAGGCCAGCCTGGGCTCCATTGCAAGTTCCATGCCAGCCTCAGCTCTGTATAGCAAGACCTTGCTGGAAAAAAAAAAAAACCCTTTAATACCTGTGATCACAAGTATCTTTAAATAATTGCTTTAATCTATCTTTAAACTATTAATGGAAAAATTACAATATGAGTGCTGTAGTCTGTTTTTAGAGTTGTTGGAAGAGATAGGTAGATAGATAGACAGATAACTACCTATTGCTATATAGGGTAAATATCCCTTGAAAGGCTTAGGACCAGAAGTGTTTCAGATGTTGGAATATTTTCACATACATGATAAGGTCTTGAGGGTAGACCCCAAATCTAAACACGAAATTCATCTGTGGTCTGTACGTACCTTGTACACATAGTTTGAAGGTAATTTTCGTTAGCTAATTTGTTTTTGTTACCATGTGGTTCTGTATGATATTTTTAGTGTACCTGCCTTTTGCTTGTGGTCATCACAGGAACTCAGGTCTAGCATTTCCCTCTTGGCTCCAACATTTAAAACTCAGAAAGTTTTCAGATTCTCAGATTTTCTCTAGCTGAGAGAATAATCATTCTCGTCACACTTTTTATTCATTGAATTATTTTTAATTCCAAATGTATATATACTTGTTAATAATTAAACAATGCACAATTATTAGAATAGTTTTCACAGTCAGTTGATGTTTACTATTTAACATCTTTCTGTACTTTTTTCTTTGCTTCTACAACAAACATATGTATATATTATTTATATATAAATAACAACTATATATAAATGGTCTTCCTTTCAGAAAAAAAATTGATTACACAATAGTACATTCTTTCCATTCATTAAGTAAGTATCCAATGGGTGCATATTTTATAGCAGGTGCTATTTTGGATATTGGAGATAGCAATATGAATAAAACAGATAAGGCTTTCTTCCATGCTTCAGCTTACAGTCTAATGAGAAGAGTAAAATAAATTAAGAAATAAATAAGCCATGAGAATTATCAGATATTAGTCAATGCCTGGTAGAGAATTAAAACAGACAATGTGACTGGTGAACATTTTGATTAATCATAGAAAAGGCCTCCTAGACAGGTGAAATTCAAACAAGATCATAATGATAAGCAGCCAGACATGCAAAAATAAGGAGGACAAACTTGCCCTGTAGCAGGAACGGAAATAGCTCTATGGTGAAAATGAGCCTGGGGAAGAGAGAGGATGAGGGAGGGAGGGAGAGGCCTTATCAGGCAGGGTACAGCTTGGCTTTTATTGTACGTGCAGCAGTGCAGCAGAAGCCAGTGGAAGGTTTTTAAACAGGGAGTGAAGTGACCTAATGCACAGATTTAAAGGCTCCATCTGTGGCTGGAGGTGTGGCTCAAGTGGTAGAGCACTTAGCTAGCAGGCGTAAGGCCTTGAGTTAAAACCCCAGTACCATCAAAATAGTTAGAATAAATAAATAAAACAAAGGCTAGATCCATTTAGGGGAAGAAAAAATATTTTTTTTCTCTAGGTCTTATAGGTTCCTAGTAGGAACAGACCCCTGTAACAAAAGGCAGATTAACAAGAGAAAAAACAAAGTTTTATTAGCATGTATATTTCATATATGGTGAGAAACACTCCGGGAAAGAATACTTTTCAAAGAGAAGTAACAAGATAAAAACTGACCTTTAAGTCAAGGAGCAGCAAGTTGGGAAAAGATAGCTTATCGGGTGAAGGCTGGTTTACAGAGCTCATGATGCAGGTTCCTCTGATACCACCTCCAGGCCAACAGGGGTCCCACGTTCTCTTCAGTGTTTAACCTCTGTTCTCCCTTACCCTGGGGTGAGGATACCTTTCACCTTTTGTCTTTCTGGGTAAATAGAGGAAGGGCAGAGAGCTTCTGACATGTTCTTTTTAATTGCCCTTAGCTCAACAGTCCTTCATATTTTGGGTGGTATATACTGGCCTCTCATGGCTTCTAGGTAGATATTGGATTGTAGGAAGGTAAAGGTGATATTCTGGAGGTGAGACCTGAATGTGACTTGGATGGTTTGTAGGTATTAGAAGCAAAGAATAGTGAATAGAATCTTGAGCCAGTGACCCAGTAGGTGCTCAGTCCAAGCTGGAAGCCTCAGAACAAGAAAGCCAATGATGCCGATCCACCCTGAGACTGAAGGCCTGGAGAGTCTCCTGATGTGAGTTTGTATTGCAAGTTTGCAGAAGCTGGAGTCTGAAAGTCCATGGGCCATGCCAACAGCAGTAGACACTCTTGCTAAGGGAGAGGAGTTTACATGCACTGACTGCCTCCTCCTCCTTGCTCCTTTGTTCCACCTGGGCTGCAGCCTGTTGCATGCTCAGCCCACATTCAGGACAGTGCTTTTCCCCTCAGGTGCTGTCTTATGTGTCAGTGGTCTCTGGACCAATTACTGTCTAAAAAAGTAGTGATAGACAGTGACTCTCCATCAATAGCTATTTCACCACAGTCTTGCCAGTACAAGTTTTTTCACTCCAATTAAGACCTCCGAGGGTAGGGGACAAAGGCTGAGAGCACTGGCTAGCTGACATGAAGCACTGGTTCCATTCCCAGCACCACAGAAAAGAAGGAAAAGTCCTGGGATGGATAGATAGGCAGGTAGGTTGGTGGTGGAGTGGATGGGCCCTGGAGCCACACTGTTCTGAGTCACATGTTGCCATAATGTACACATACACAAGGCCTGTGACCTTGAGTAGTTGCCATAACCTCGCAGACCTACATTTTGCTTCTCTGCAGGAAGACTTCAGTACTTTCTACCTCACAGAATTAAGGTTAAATAACATACAGTAGCTCCTCCCTTATCTGTGAAGTGTATGTTTCATGACCCCCAGGGATGCCTGAAGCCAAAGACAGTATGAAACCCTAAAGACAAGCACCACAGTACTATGACATTTGACCTGTTACCTTAGATGACTAGTGACTAACAGGTGGTAATGCATACAGTGTGGATATGCTGGACAAAGGGGTGTCTCACATCCTAGGCAGGACAGCGCTGAACAGCACAAGATTTCATCATGCTGCTCAGAAGGTGTGCAGTTTAAAACATACGAATTGTTTATTTCTAGAATTTTCCATCTACTCTTTTTGGGTCACCATTGACTGTAGATAACTGAAAGAAAAACACAGATGGGAGGGACTACTCTGTGTGTGTGTGTGTGTGTGTGTGTGTCTGTGTGTGTGTCTGTGTCTGTGTGTCTGTGTGTCTTGTGCCTGTCACATAGTTACTGCTCAATGCATGCTAAACTTGGCACAAGGACACATAGCTACAGTCCCAGCTGCTTAAGAGGTTGAGAAAGGAGGATCACTTGAGCCCAGGAGGAGTTCAGGGCCCCACTGAACAGATAACAGAGAGACCCTGTCTCAAAAAATAAATTTTTTTTCATTGTTAATTATTCTCTTGTATTTATAGAATGTCACATAAATCTCTTAGTGGAGGGAATTTTTTAGAAATAATGTTTTTGTAGTTGACTATGAGTGTTCCCACCAAAATATTCCATAGGAAGTGATTAGTCTTATTCCACATACTTTTCCTAAATATGAAAGTGCCTCCATAATGACCAAGAGAACTAACCTGTCTTTAAGTTACAGAGCCTCTGTGCAATCCAGTTTTTGTGTCTTCATATGGATAAATGTATCGCTGTTGGTGTTACTACTTAGTTTTGAGAGGCCCATTTGTGGTATGGGCCTCTGTTTTTCCATTGGTTTTTTTCTGTCAGGATGGACTTGTGGATCTCAGCTGCATGGCTTCCTTTGTACCTGGTGAACTGGTGTCAGCTGCCTTCCTGGTAGGGGGCAGCACTTAGAGGGGTAACTAGCACAGTGCCCACTGTGTCAAACATAATTGAAGGTTCTTTTAATACCTAGTCTCATGTCTCTGCCGTATCCAGACTGGGAGACAGGCTTATTTCCATTCTACAGAAGAAGATACTGGGGCTAGAGAAGCTAAATAATATATCTATGTGACCATGTGCAAGTATGCAATTCAGCATTACATCCTGTGTGTCCCTGGGCCTGTTACCACCAAGCCTTCACAGACTTGTCATAGAGAGCAACAAAGTAATGTATATGAAGCATTTAGTACTGCTCATGTCACAAAGGACGCACTCAGTCAACATGAACTATGTTTTATTCAAATACTGAAGTGAATTTGACTCAATCTTTATATCATACATTATCTATTGTTTTCATTTTTTAAATCGTGGCAACTGCAGAAATGGTTCACATCATTCAGTCACCTATAAAAGCTAAAATTTACTTATGCTTTATCCTAGAAGAGTCAGTAACCAGAAAAGTAACCTGGTGTTATCCAAAATAGCATCTTTAGGGATGCAGGTATGGCTCAGCGGTAGAGTGTCTGCCTAGCAAGCACAAAGCCATGAGTTTAAACCCTAGTGCTACAAAAGAATAAATAAATTTTAGACAATACTATGTGGTATTGCAGAACTGCTGCATGAGTGGCTTGATTAATTAGATTCTCTATACAACATAACACACACGATAACATCATTGTATTTTGAAAATTTAAAGACTGACAAGGATAATTAATGCTATTCTCTAAAACATTATGCTAGGTGATATTTCTGTTGCACCATTACAATTTGGATTA